CGGCCGCCTCTGCGCGGAGGGGGCGCGCGGTGCCGCTGGCCGCAGCCTCCGTTTTCCTAATGGACCCTTTAGTCCGAATTGCGCGAGCGTCAACGCGGCGCGGCCGCCGCGATGGCTCGGGACGGGTTTCGTCGCTGTCCGAGCTCCGGGGAGCGCTAGGGCCTCACGAGCCGCGGGTCTGCCGCTCAGTGCGGTGAGAGGGGATGGGAGGCCACACGAAGCTTTAATTTCCTTTATTTCTTCTCCCTAGAAAGCGGTGCAAGGAGAGCTGGACGCCCTCCTGGAGCAGCAGAGCACGATCGAGAACAAGATGGTTGCGCTTCACCGCATGGGGTCAGTGATCTCGGCTGCCTCCGCTTGATCCGTAACCGGGAAGCCAGTTCAGCAGCCCAGTGCCTCTCTGCTGTCTGAGACAAGGGAGCTCAGATAAATTTTGTTTCTTTGCTCATGCATCAGCTCTTGCCAGGGAAGAGTGGATGGACCCACGCCCTGGACTCGCAGCTTTCAGTAGAACTAGCAGAGAAAACATTGCTGCCTCAGGCGACCGATCTCACCCAGGAACATGTTTTTATACCTCCTCCCAGATGCCGCAGGGTTTGGGAGTGACACTTTGCTCAGACGCGTTGCCTTGTGCCGTTTGTGGAACGAGGCAAGCGTTCCTGCCTTTCTTCTTGCTGAGGTCACGCTAGCAGCCTGAAAAGCCTCAAGTCCAGCATGAATCCACAGGCTTCACCTTCCATTTCTGTAGCGGGCAGTTCCTTAAACCTGCAGCAGCCCATTCGTGCTCTCACAGGTGTGGTTAATCGATCTGTGCTGCCTCTTCCAAGGCAAACTGCATCAGTTTTGGTTCTTGGATTGTGTAGGAAGGGTGGGAAAGGAGAGCAGCTACTGCTGAGAGCATCAACTGGGATTGAGGAAAGAAACATCCTGCTGTTCTCGACTATCCTGCTGCTTAATATCTGCTTCTCACATGCTCAATTTGTGTGTGTTTGCAGCCCTAATTTGCAGCTCATAGAGGGGGATGCCCAGCAGCTGGCAGGGATGATCACCTTCACCTGTAACCTGGCTGAGAACGTGAGCAGCAAAGTCCGTCAGCTTGACCTGGCCAAGGTACCTGCAGCGAGGGGTGTTTGGGACTCTTCAGCACCAAGCTGTGCTCTGCTTGTTGCGCTTGTTTGTGTGCTTACTGCACCACTGCCAATGTGCTCATTTCCTGCATGGGGGAAGACTGGATTAAATTGAATTGAATTCATTATTTGGGCATTATCTGGTGTTTTTTGTTAGTGATGTCTTGTTGGTCTCCTGCACAGTACAGGATACGAGAATAAATAATTGTATGATAGTGTGTACAGCAGCTGGCTCTCCAGTATTCCCTTGCGTCTCTGAGAAATATGTGAAGTATGACAAATAAATTGAAATTAGTTTTCATTAGCCTTCTGTTATCCAGCTACTGCAGCGCTGATGTGCTGCGGAGATGGCCGTAGTTGTCTGAGACTGGGCAGGAATCCAAGCTGTGTTATGCTTTGTATAGAGCGAGTCTAAGAGCCTTCAAGTCCCAGCACCCAGCAAACCTTGTGCTCAAATTGAAGGGGGCGTGTGGCTGTGCCTGGAGCCTCTGCCTGGTTGTTAAGCTGGAGTATAGTTGAGTTCTGGCCAAGTCTTGATAGGAAGATGTAATTCTTCTTTCAGAGTCACTAGCCTTAGGACCTTCTGACCTTTTGGAGTTTCTGGTTACCTGCTTGTTTATCTTTTACAGAAGTATCCCTTCCCTTACTGCTTGCTTTTCTGGCAGAATCGACTCTATCAGGCCATTCAGAGAGCTGATGACATCCTGGACCTGAAGTTCTGCATGGATGGAGTTCAAACAGCCCTGCGAAACGAAGATTACGAGCAAGCAGCAGCTCACATCCATCGCTACCTGTCTCTGGATAAGTCAGTCATTGAGCTCAGTCGACAGGGCAAGGAAGGTGAGTTCTGTTTCTGAAGAGCAGCAGATAAGTCACCTTTCCAGTAAGATAACTAGAAACTGCCTCATTTCCCGTGACAGATTGTCCTGGCCTGATAGACCGAGGAGCAGAACATCCAATGCTAGCCAAGGATATTGGTGTGTTGTATAGTAATGATCCTTGCAAAAGCTCAGAAGTGTTATTAGGTTTGAATTATTGTTAATAAATGGGACAGTTCCTGGCACAAGGCCTCCATAGATTATCACATGCTGTCTAGGTGAAAGACAAAAATGTCTAGGACAGAAGTGAGACAGAGAAGGCTCTGAGAGCTGTTGCAGTGTCAGTGGGATGCCAAGCAAAGCAGCTGGACATGAAGAAACAAGAAAGACATTGCCTGATGCCTGGAAAAAAAAAGTCTCTGGATTGGAGCTAGGGTGTAATTTGCCAGATTAGGTTGCACTAGAGTTTTCTTGTTATCAACGTATCTCGCTGACTCTCTTTGTTACATCCTGTAGAATCATTCTAGTGTACCTGCTGCCCTCCTGGCCTTTCGCCTCCTGATTGTCACCTCAGAGCTGCACAGCTTTCATCTCTCTGTTGGAAAAATAAGTACTGCACACCATACTAATGTTGCCCTGCCAACTTTCCCTTTGTTCTCTCACCTTTTGACCAGGAGGTATCATTGATGCCAACCTGAAGCTCCTGCAGGAAGCAGAGCAGCGCCTGAAGGCAATTGTCACGGAGAAATTTGACATGGCCATGAAGCAGGGAGACCTGCCCCAGGTGGAACGGTTCTTCAAGATATTTCCTCTGCTTGGCTTACATGAAGAGGGGCTAAGCAAGTTCTCAGAGTACCTCTGCAAGCAGGTAACAGACTCTATGCAATGCTACTGATTTTCCCTTAAGGGAAAGTGAAATACAATCTCTGCCCATAGGGGTTGTGGAATGGTTCTGGCATATTAGTCTTTGGAACTAGTGCTGGCTTCTCTCTGCTTGCACCTTGGGGCGAGCTTTCTGATGTCTGAATACAGACCCCACTGCCTGGCTGTCTGGTTTGTTCTGCCATTTTTTTGCTCTCCGTGCTTGCCTATAGCTCGTATAAGGGAGCAATGCTCCAACTATGGCTGGAAAGAGAATAACAAGTTTCTGCTTTCCCTTCTGCCCTGTGTTTTGCACATGAGAGGAAGGAGCAAAGGATCTTTTTTTTCAGGAAGAAATTTTTGCAGTGGGAGGGCTAGTAAAAACACTGTATGGGAGGAAAAACATCTCTGAGTATTACCAGCTGACTCATCCCATCGTCATTCAGGTGGCCAACAAAGCAGAGGAGAACCTGCTGCTGGTAATGGGGACAGACATGAGTGACCGTCGAGCTGCTGTCATCTTTGCAGACACCCTGACGCTCCTCTTTGAAGGTAATCTCCCTTCCTTCTTTGCAGATGGGTTAAAAACAAGCTGTGACGAGCTTGTCTATTGGCCTAAAAGTTTTTAGCTTAAGGTCCAGGACAGTGCAAAATGCCTCTTCCCTCTTTCAGCTATGAGAACGTCATGCTAGAGGGACAGGGACTAAACCAATAGACTTTTCCCAGCCAGGAGAGGGCATTAGAAAAAAAAATTGCTTGGTTCAGCTTGTGCAGACATGAAGTGGACTTGCAAAGGAGCAGCTGTCCTCAGGAGGCAGGCTTTGTGCGTGACTTAAAGAGCTTTCTCAGCTGCATGGACTGCATAAATGTTTTCCTGGGAGAGCTGTAGATTTCTCCTTAGATAACTTGTTAGATTTGTGGGGTCTCGTGAGACCTGGATCAGACACCTCTGGTTCTTTGCATCCTAAAAACAAATGGCTGTTCCCTAAAGGCTTCTTCCAACCCGCATTTCTGCAGGCAAACAAATCAGATCCCTTAACACTGAGCAGCTGTAATTGCCTCCCTGCTTTCCGAGGAGGACCATGGCAGCTTGAAAACAGAGAGAGAAGGGAGAGAGCCTATGAATGTCTTTGGTGACATTCCCACAGAGCAGTAATTGAGATCCTGCCATGATTAACCGCCTTCTCCATAATGTCTGCTGTAGTTCCAGGCTGCACCACTGCCAAGTCCCTCTTCCAGCCTGGCATCCTTGCTGCTGTTGAAGGTGCTCGGAGCTGTTGGGGCTTTCTTGGCAGGAGCGTGGAGGCAGGGGGTTGTTGCTACCTCTTGAAGCAGGAGTCCACCTGGACTCCCAGCTCCTTCTCTGTGGAGATGACTGATCCCATGTGAAGCACTGAGAATTCCTACACCCTGGCTCCAGCCTGGAAGGGCTCTCTCTCTTGTGCCCGAGCACAGAAGGGATTCCTGAGCCTGGCTGCCCCTCTCCCTGCAGGGATTGCTCGCATTGTGGAGACCCACCAGCCCATCGTGGAGACTTACTATGGCCCAGGGAGGCTCTACACCCTCATCAAGCACCTGCAAGTAGAGTGTGACCGGCAGGTGGAAAAGGTGGTGGACAACTTCATCAAGGAGAGGGACTATCACAGGCAGGTAAGAGGGGCATGAGGCTGTCAGACATAGCCGTAACTGATGCAGTTCCTTCCTGTGGTGGTGTTTGCCATGGAGTGTTCCTGGTGCCTTTCCTGAACAAGTCCCTCGTTTGGATACAGCGTGAGAAAAGGCTGTTAACTTCACCAGCACAGATATTGATGTCTCTCCTGTTTTTTTGCGATTGCAGTTCCAGCAGGTTCAGAACAGCATGATGAGAAGCTCTTCCACAGAGAAGATTGAGCCAAGGTACAAACAAACCCCTTTTTGCTCTCTAACTCAACACTCATATCTGTCACTAGCACTACTTAGCATTTGGATAGCTCTTTCCATCTTCCAGAGGCTTTGTGGCTACTAAAGCATAAAAACCAATTGTTGGGTGCCGTTCACTGCCCTTGTGTAAAGGCAGCTTTATTTTGCTAAATTGTTACTTTCAAGCCTTGACCCTGGTTGTTGCTGGAGGACTGGGAATATCATAGCACACGAAGGACAGAGTCTTTATATGGCTCACAGAGTCAGAAATAGAGCAATTCCCTGAACAACTAATCAGTGGCAAAATAGGGAGCAAATCTTTGGGTCCTATTTATTTTTTATCTTACTGCTGCTGTACAGATTCTGTACAGTCAATTTCTTGCTAATGAGCTGAACTGCTTCCAGTCTCCCTCCTCCTCTTTTTATTTTGAGTATTTGTGAAGTGCTAAAGTAAGGCCATTTGATAATGCATTGAGCCCATCTGCCTTCGCACGGCTTCTAAACATGCCTTGAGAGAAAGCTTACATTCCCAAAGCAAGATCTGTCTGTGATCCTGCAGGACCAGTTACTTGAGTGGTAATTTAGAAGGCCACTTACTCCTTGCTCTGAATAATTGTGGATGCATCCTAGGCTTACTGAGCTCTTGCTTTTTCATCCATAAAAAAAAAGATAAAGGTTTCACACCCCACTTATTTGTTGTGAGGTTTTGAGCAGCATTTATAATGTGCTTTTGTGCACACTGATTTAAAAAAGCTGCTGATGTGGTCGTCTTTTTCTTTTCATCATTAAATGCAAAGTCATCTGTGCCTGGAACACTGTGTTCAGCATTGTCGTTCTTGAGCTCCAGCAGATCCTTTAGCATTTTCAGACAAACACACGTGTTTGGACACGAGAGCACAAGTATGGAGGTGACCTGGAGTTTTTAACACTGGCCATGTAGGGCTCATGGAATCATAGCAAAATTGAGATAGAAAGGGAGTGATGAAGGTCTCTAGTCCAAATTCCTGCTTGAAACAGAGCTAATTTTGAAGTTAGATCAGATTCTTCAGACTCTTACAGTCCTTACCACTCTGCACCTACACTTACAGCCTTATTAGTGTTGCACTAACAGTGGCAAAGATGAAAAAAGAAAAAAAAAAAAGCTTCTCTGTAATGACTTTTAAAGAACATTTTGACAAGGTGTGGGTTTTAGATATATCTGTCATGTTTAGCTTACATAGCAGATCCCTTGGATGGGTGTTGTCCTGCAGACCACAGTTATAACACGGGGAAGTAATCCCCAGGTGGGTTAGCATCCCGTATTCAGGAAGATCTCTCTGGGATTTGTTCCTTGGAGGTTTTCGTCGCCACGTCTGCTGCAGAGCTCCCGAGCTCTGGCGCTCGGTGCTGGGAGCTCGCAGTGTTCCCAAGTGGTCGAGCAGGCACGGCGCCTGTGCCCGCATGTGGCTGAGTGCAGAGCAAGGAAAGGCTGTTGCTGCCAAGCAAAGCAAGTGTGGGAACCCTTCTCTGGAGCAGATGGTGTTTGGCCCCTTTTGCCAGAGGGTGACTGACAGGATGAACCGCTGAGCTGATCCATTCTGGCAGTGCTTTTCTGCTACCCAGCATAACTTGTCTCCGTTTAACTCGGCTTATGGTGGAGCAAGTCTCAGCAGAAACAAACTCCCAAGTAATACTTGAAAGCAGAGCTGAGACTGTGTGCATGTACCAGTGGTTTTGCTGAGCGTTGCTACATGGTGCAGGTGGAGAGGGACAGTATTAATCTCCCAGTGAGAGTACGGAGAATGTGCTACCTTACCGAGCTAAATTGGTGCCCCTTGTGTTGTAGACTTGCTGTCTTGATGCCTCTGTGTCCCTCGCAGGGAACTCGACCCTCTTCTGACGGAGGTGACCTTGATGAACGCCCGCAGTGAGCTCTACCTGAGGTTTATCAAGAGACGGATAATATCTGATTTCGAGGTGGGAGACTCTATGGCGTCGGAGGAGGTAAAACAAGGTAACACCTTGAATACCAGCACTCGCAGGCTCTTTGTTCCTTGTAGTGCCCAGAGAGGAGACATATCTGAGTCGAGGTCAGAGCTGTGGTACAGGTTCCACAGAGGCGCTGTGGGAGCACTCTATGGGAGAGGATTTGGCCTCCCCAAAACTATTTTCAGTGCTGGGCTTCCTGACAAGGTCCTCCCATAACCGTCCTCTGCACAGTGGCTTTTCATACTCTGGCATCTCACAGTGGGGGAGGAAGCTGTTTGAAGCTGTGACTTCACAGGCCGCTACAGGTCTGTTAGGGAAAAATGCCTGTCACCACAGCATCAGATGGCTGCGTGAGAAAAACAATATCCGAGAAGCAAATAACTGTGGAGGAGGGTGGATTTAAGGATAACTCTTTGGGAAAGGATCTGGACCAAGAGTTAATACCACTGGTACAGGAAATGTTCACTGTTCAATCTTCCAGTCCAGATCAAGTTGCTCCCCTCTAAAAGGGGAAAAAAAAACTATCCAAACTATCCAAAATTATCTCCGTGTGAGGAAGAACTTCTTTACTCTGTCACTTCTTTACAGGGTGACAGAGCCCTGGCACAGGCTGCCCAAAGAGGCTGTGGAATCTCCTTCTCTGGAGATCTTCAAACCCACCTGGGTGCCACCCTGTGCCACGTGCTGTGGGTGTCCCTGCTGGAGCAGGGGGATTGGGCCAGATGATCTCTAGAGGTCCCTGCCAACTTCAACCGTTCTATGAAAACCAGCCTTGTAGGAATATGGCAGCAGAGTGTAATAAATAAGGCTCCCTAAGTGAGAGAAGGCCCTTCAGCAACTGCAAGCACAGGTGCTAAAGGTGGAGGCCGTGAGGAAAATAAGCTGAGGGTTATGACACTCCGGGGAGCTCTGGAAATCACTTGTCAGCTGCAAAAAGTCAACTCGGCTCTTTCAGATCCACAGATAAGACCTGTGATTTATTGCCTGTTGGGCTTTGCAGGTGTGTGTCCGTTGGCTCTTGCTGGGCAACAAGGTGATGACCATTTTCCTTTGTGTTCTGCAGAGCATCAAAAATACCTGGACAAGCTCCTCAACAACTGCCTGCTGAGCCGCACCATGCAAGAGCTCATCGGCTACTACATCACCATGGAGGAATACTTCATGAGGGAGACTGTCAACAAGGTAGGGCTCAGGCTGCTGCCTGCAACAGCCTGGACTCTCTGCCAGGCAGAAGCCCCCGTGTCGCTCCACAGTCCTCTGGTGAGAGCCCTGAGGGAGGGAGATGGGCACCTCACGGGTATGCAGCAGTTTGGAAGGCCTGTTGTTTCCCTTGGCCTTGTAAAGCAAGC